AACCGTCTCCATTTCCCAAACAACGGTTCGGTGGAGCAAAACATATATACCATTTCGAAGCAACATGAGCTTGTGCATCATACTATATCCCCACTTTTTCAATTTCCATGAATTTTCTCTATTTAAACAAATATTAAATGGACCGTACGCTCAATTTTGTCCAGCACAAAAATGACATTCATCTACATTTTTCAATAAAAATCACAAAATCCAAAAAAAAATTTCAAAATTCTCTCGGTTACTATTAGTTCACATAATTACGCAACAAACAGTGCAAAGAATTGATTGAAAAAAATAAATTAGGTTCATGAAATAGTCCGCGATACATTTTTCTGGCAGTCGTACGCTCAATTTAGTCCATGACTGTAAGTATTAAAAGTTGGTCTTGGGAATACAATGCCCAAATCACGGTTTGAAGGTTAAGCGAACATGAACTCGAACAAACATTAACATTTATTTTTTCGTATTGAACAAGGTGAACTGAACGCGAACGAACATGAATACAAATTCTTAAAATTTTTGAACATGAACGTTCGAGTTCAGTTCAACTTGCAGCTCTAACATTTGGCAAACTCAATGGAGTTTGACATTTGCATGAAGCACCAATAGTACATTGGAATTCAATAGGATATATCGCTACTACAGCTAAACACTATGAATGCGACTATTACAAGATAATAGGTAGTGACACGAGAGATTGAGAGTGTCTGTCAATGTCTGTCATCTGAGCACTCAGTAATACGGTACATTGTTAAGTATTCACTGAGAGTACCGGTTTTGTTCATCAAATCCTAATAGCTATTTATTAATTTATTATAGAATGGGAGTTAAATTTGTAATTTGAATTTTTTTTTATTTTACTAATAAACTGAAAAATGCATGAAGACTAAAGTCATTTATATTTGCAGCACAAATCCGGCAATAAAACATGAATCTAACGCATTCACCATTTGAATGTACAAATTTCATTGCTCCTAAATAACATAACCTTCTTTGCAAAATTGAACGATCAAATGACATTTCATTTTCCATGGTATAATTTAAATACTATTATTTATTCTTATGATTATAAGGAATAATAATTATTTTTTTATTGAAATAGATTTTAAAAAATCGAAATTCCCACAATCTTATTAACTGAAAGTCTGAAGTACTATTTACGAGATCAGTGCAGTAGCATGAAGTTGCTTAATTATTACTTATTTAGTGGTTAATGTAAAACATTTAGTTTATTCATGTGCAATTTAGGAGCAATGTAGATTCAACGTGATTTTAAAAATGTTCAACCCGTGGCACATTTTTGTACATACCGTAGCACATTTCTACAATCACATCAAATCTACATTGCTCCTAAATTGCACATGAATAAAGGAGATGCAAAATGATTTTGAGGTGAATAAAACAGTAATATATAATAATAATAAATAATAATAAGTATAATAATAAAATAATACAGATGAAAATCGAATCATGAATTTTAGGAGCAATGGATTTTATATTAAGGCCATTTGTTCTGGAGGGAACATTAAACCAAGATTTTTCACGGCACATTTAATTTAATAATACACTGAAATGTAATGATAAAATTTCAAATATTTGTACACAAATTGATTAATAATAATGACGAGCACGTACCCGATTACTGTTTATTGCTTTGAAAATTCAAGACAAAAGTGACAGATATGCAAATGCTTAAAGTACAACGTGACACATGTACTTTACATTGACAGACACACAATTTGACAGCTCCACAAGAAAAAAAACTATGTATGTCACTCCCTATACAAGATATATTAATAACAAATGTCCCTGTATTTAAGTATGTGTATAGTATACACACCTATAGGTATAATAAGAATTAGTTTTTTTAGTAGGGGACATTGCTGCAGGTTGAGAATTGCTGTAGGTTGAGAATCGTTACTTTTTTTCACTATGCGTGATCATATCGCCATCGGAATAGTTTTGAAAATCTAATTTTGAGGCCTGTTCTTTTTTAAAAATTGTTCCGACAGAACTGGCGTTTGTTTTGATACACTTCCAATACGCCCATGAATTTTTGTGCGAAAACTTGTCATTTTAGTTATTGCCGAATGTCATAAAGTGACTATTTTGCATTGAAAAAAGAGTCGGGCAACCGTTTTGTTGTAGTATTTTCATTTCTCTTTACGATTCAACAAGAATTATGTGCATTTTGTGGTGTTGAAAAAAAATTACGAGTCTCGGTAAAAATGTCTATAAAACTGCAGGTTGAGAAAGTGACTTTTTTGCAGGTTGAAAAAAGATATTTTTTACAATATAAAAGATTTTATTGTTTTTCTCGTTTATGAATCATTATTGAAGAGTAAATACGTCATTTAAGATGACTTTTTTTCGAAAATTAATTTATTTAATCAAATTTATGATTGGACTACCATTCAGGAAATGGACAATGAATCTGATGAATTAGAGTAATTTTTGGGCTCCAAATTGCTTTATAGAGCAATAAAATCATCATAACATTGAAAGTATATCATATTTTTATAGTTTTTCCTACATTTTAAATAATAATTTTGAAAATTCTCAACCTGCAGCAAAAAAAAAATTTTCGCCATTTTCAGCACCTTCAGAAATTTGACCATAAATTTTGTTTTTGAAAAGCAATTGCATATGTTTCTTAAGCAAAATTATAGCTCAAGACATTATCTATCCAAAGGTACCTTAATCTCTTCTAATTGTTCACTCCTGACAAAGTTATGACCAAAACAAATAGTGGTAGCCAACCTGCAGCAATGTCCCCTATTTTATTAACACCACCTAAATATTTTTGTTTCTGTAGGAAAATGACACCAAGAGTCATGAAAAACCTGATCTTTTCGTGTTTATACAGTTTGGACTAATACATAAATAATTTAATTTTAAAAATGGTTCTCGTATGAACATTTGATCTATAAGTTAACTGATACATAAAACTCAACCTGAACATGGAAATGAATGCAGGTAGCCGCATGTCAACGGTCCAATATAGCCGAATTTTTTTCGGACGGACGGACGGACAAGGGGTTTTGTACGAACTTTTTGAAATTTTTCGGACGTCCGAATATTTTTGGGACGTCCGAAATTTTTGCATTTTTTGGTTGGAAAACTCTCGGAAAAAAACTACTGTCGAGGAAAGTTCAAACCAGAGAACTTTTTTCCGAGAGTTTTCCAACCAAGAAATGCAAAAATGTTGCTGAAGAAGAATACGCTGCGTATTCTTATCCAATTTTCTTTTGATTTTTTTAACTAAAAAAATTTCGGACATCCGAAAAATATTATAGATGTGATATCACATTTCCAAAAAATGTGGAAGCTATTTTGGAATTCGACAACTGGTGACGTTTATATCATTGATCTTTTTTATCTTTTTAGGCCAATCCTCAGAATTTGAAGAAAACGTTCAAGACATTAGTAAATTATATCAAATATATGCCGATGAAGTTCTAGGATCTGGACAATTCGGTATCGTTTATGGAGGCGTTCATAAGAAAACTCACCGTGAAGTAGCAATTAAAGTGATTGACAAACTTCGGTTTCCTACAAAGCAGGAGGCTCAATTGAAAAACGAAGTAGCAATTTTGCAAAACATCTCCCATTGTGGTGTCGTAAATTTAGAAAGAATGTTCGAAACTCCTGAAAAGATCTATGTAGTAATGGAAAAACTGAAAGGGGATATGTTGGAAATGATCCTATCCAGCCCACGTGGAAAATTAAACGAACGCGTTACAAAATTTCTTATAACACAAATTTTGATAGCTTTGAAGCATTTGCACAGCAAAAATATCGTGCATTGTGACTTGAAACCAGAAAACGTTCTTCTGTCGACTGATTCTGAGTTCCCACAAGTAAAATTATGCGATTTTGGTTTCGCCCGAATAATTGGTGAAAAATCGTTCAGACGTTCTGTTGTTGGAACGCCTGCCTATTTAGCGCCCGAAGTTTTACGAAATAAAGGATATAATCGATCATTGGATATGTGGAGTGTCGGCGTTATTATTTATGTAAGCCTAAGTGGAACATTTCCGTTCAATGAAGACGAAGATATAAATGACCAAATTCAGAATGCTGAATTCATGTACCCACCAACACCATGGAAAGAAATTTCAAGTGAAGGTTGGTAGATTTTTAACATGTAAAAAATCATTTAATGATATTTTATTTAACTTTTCTTATTCTGATACAAAATACGTAAGCTGTTAATTCTTTTACATTTATTTTATTTACATGTAACCAAGTATCGATTTCATCATTTATTTAAACGGAATAAATCCAAGAATACATTTCACTAAAGAACATGAGCAAGAAAATTCATTATCATTCTTGGATTTAAATGTCACCAGAGTGAATGACACACTGGACTTCGATATTTACCGCAAAAACACTAACACTGATCGATGTATTCCATCAACATCATACCATTCACAACAAACGAAATTTTCATCATTGAACTCGTTTTGTAATCGTGCAGTAAATTTGCGTTTGAGTGATACAAATTATCAAAGATAAATTGTATAAAATAGCAGAGGTGAATGTTTTCAGTGGAAAAATTGTCAACACACTGTTGAAAAAACATAAACAAAAGAAAGAATTGAATGATTTAACAACTTTGAGTAATTCAATCAATAACGATTTAATCGATGATGTTTATTATTACTCGGGCGGAATTTTTGTGGATGGTCTAACAACAAAATTAGCGAGAATTCTGCGCAATCATTCAATTATTTTGTAGAGAAATAGCACCAGTTACAAATTAAAAACCCGCCGATTTTTTGGGTTTCCGTTTATTAAAAGAGGTTAATGACTCTAGATATTTGGATGCATATGAAAATTTGTACATTTACAAAACTAAGCTTAATAACATGAACATCCAAAAAGCGCAGGTCGAAACATCTCTGTACAAATTTTCAAAAACATTAACAACAGAGAACATTTTCAACGGAAAATACTAAATGCGTGTATTCTGATATAATTAGCATTGCTTTAATTGTCAATTTTTTTTCGATATTTTTCAAATTGAATAATTGAGTAGCCATTTGACAAGATTTTTGTATTTTGTTCAGTTTTTCAACTCGCCTGATGATGGAAACACGGTTTCCGAAATCTTTCGCGTAAATTAACAGCTTACGTATTTTGTATATAATAAGAAAAGTTAAATAAAATATCATTAAATGATTTTTTACTGATACAGTGTTCATACTCGATTTTTGTTATGTAAAATGAATAAATATTTTCAAATTTCTTTTTTAGCTATCGATCTTATTAATAATCTGCTGCAAGTCAAACAACGGAAGCGATTTACTGTAGATAAAAGTCTGCTACATTCATGGTTACAAGATCGGCAAACTTGGCAAGATCTAAGAACACTTGAAAACCAAGTAGGTGTTCGTTATTTGACCCACGAATCAGACGACATACGTTGGAATCCCATGCAACATGACTGAATAATTTGTTGAATACCAATCTGATGATTAAAGCTGTTTAATAATATTTGGTTACAAATTATTCAAACTATTTATTCATTGTTGTTCGATTTTTAATGATACAGTTATCTCAAAAGTCAAATGTTTATTCATTCTGTTTTATTTTTTCACATATGCAAACGTTGCAAGAAATCTAGAAATATATTTTAATATTTTCATTATTATGCTGATTCAAAGTGCTCAGACTTTAATTAAGGTCCGAAGTCAAAATTTTTGTTAGTGGATATTTTTGAAATGTTACGTTGGCATGAAAATTGTTGGGCCCAATAATGATGTTTTGAATCAAAACATCCGAAGGTTTCATTAATTTTTTGGATTTTTTTTAGATTTTTCGTTCACTATTGGACTTTAGTTTTTTTTTCTCGTTCATTTTTAGTACTTTTAGAACATGGTATGCAAAGGTCTTGAGGAGTACTAAAAAGATCTTGTCACACTATTGCTCTATTTCGAGTAGTTGAAAAGTTACACTCCGCAATAAAATGGAGAATCTGTCACCTTGACATGTGGTAATATAGCGGTTTACCCGATGTAAAGGGGAATTTAATCTACATAAATATATGGCGGAGAGAGCGCCATATATTTATATAGGAATTAATCCAGTTTGAGGTTAAATTCCCCTTTACATCGGGTAAACCGCTATATTACCACATGTCAAGGTGACAGATTCTCCATTTTATTGCGGAGTGTGTAGGACTTCAAAAAATTTCGCAAAAAAAATTACAAAAAATCGAAAAAAATTGAAAAATTCCAATGTAAAACCTCCATTTATGCCCAAATATGTTCAATCGCATTGAAATTTCTCAAAAAATGTCAGGAAAAACGAAAAAAAAAAATTCGTGAAAAATTATGAAAATCGAAAAAAATCCAAAAAAATCGGTAAATTTCAGGCGGTTTTTGGGTCAAATCATCATTATTCGTCCTAACTCATTCCGTCCTATCAATAAATCCCCCCAAAAACGCGAAAAAACGATTTTTTTTTTCAAAGTCTAGACTTTAATTGAGTAGTTTGGAAAATGTAATACAGAAAAATTGCGCGGAAAAATGTCGATGATGAATGAGCGGAAAAGGGATAGCTATATAGTATACTGCAAAACATCATTATTGGGCCCAACAATTTTCATGCAAACGAAACATTTCAAAAATATCCACTAACGAAAATTTTGACGGACTTTAATTAGAGTCTGGGCACTTTGAATCAGCATAAGTGTTCACTATTGGTTGCTTAAATCAATCTATCGAAATATTTTAGAAATTTGAATCTTTTTTGAAATGAAACTAAAACATGAATAACATAGGTTTAAGTTAGGGATGAATTAGAATAAGAATTCACTTCAAATCCAAATTAGTTCATTTTTATCACTTTAGTTCTGTTAGGGTCTTTCAAGACCTAGACAAAAACGGATTGTGCCCAGTGCATTGGGGGTATATATCATGTAACGGTAAAAAGGAATATATAAATAAAACACGTTGTAGCTCTATCCATATTAGGGAAGTGCAAATGCCAAAAGTTTTAAAAATCACAGCTCCCCGACCGGAGTCGAAAAATTGGGTCAACCTGCACGGAAGCTATCCAGTTTGTATGGAGAGGAAACTCGAATATTGAAGAATATTCGAAAATTTTGGTTAAATTTCGAAACTATACTGGCAAACAGATGACTAAATCTTACTGCTGGCATCCAGTACTACAATTTTGGTCGATATTACAACGCTCTAAAGTGCAATACTGTGCTTTTACAGCTGAAATTCCACATTTTTGGTACAGATAACTTAAAAAAACCTCGAAATGACTACTTAAAACTCATTTTTTGAGTCTATATCGACTCAATTTTTTCCGTAGATTCCAAATATGACCATTACTAGCTAATTCAAATGCATTTTAGTGTCAAAAAATTCGTCAGTTTGCACTTTTGATAGATTGTTCGCTATGAAGCGCTCTAACACCATGTTATTAACAGAAAAATCAATGTCCAAAACACCAAATCGACGGAAAATGATTAGAATTTTTGATTTGGACCTTCACACGTGTCAAAATGTAAAGGTATTAAAACAATTGCGAAAGAGCCTAAAAAATGGTACCTTTCGGTAGAAAAAAGTTTTTTTTTCATTTCTTCAGCAAATTTGAATTGGTTTCTATAATTGAGTCCACATCAAGAAAAACTGCATCATTAGTTATAAAATATTGGTCCATTTTAGCGATTTTGAGGGATGCGTATATCCAGAGTAGCCAATTTCTTCCATTCTTGATGGTTTTATGCATTTGGTAACATCTTAAAAATGTTCAACGTGCAATTTTAGGTAGAAATGGTCTTAATGAATCTTGTATTTGACCGAAACCAGGCACTGCTAGGCCTTAGTGTTAAAATATGTTAGAATAGAATACACTTTCAGATCTACCTTAGAACCATTTAGTACACTTTTAGAACATTTTTTTAGCGCAGTTTTAGTACAAATTGAGCTATTTATTACTTTTTCTATCCTTACAATATGATTTGGATCTGATTGCTTCCGTACGGAAAAAAAGTCAAAAATTGGTGTACTTTGACTTTCATTCATGGTGGCTCATCAAAAGTGTAAACCGACGATTTTTTGACACTAAAATGCATTCAAATTAGCTGATAGTGGTCATATTTGGAATCTACGGAAAAAATTGAGTCGATATAGACTCAAAAAAGGAGTTTTAAGTAGTCATTTCGAGGTTTTATAAAGTTATCTGTAGCAAAAATAAAAAGAATTACATTGGTAATCCCGAACTTTTCCGTACCGTTGTCCTGCGTTGTCCGTAGGTACTTTTGGTTATTTTTTGTGAATTTTCTTGAAATAAAGGCAGTGAAAATATAATAATGAAAATAAAGTGAAAAGCCGGTCACTTTAACTAAAACTTCGACAATTTTGTATGAGAGGTACCCGTAAACCGATTCTTATTGGCTTTAAAATTTCTGAGGTTTCATTTTTTGGAGAAAAAAAAAGATTCTGAAAGTTTCATGTTGATCGCATTTGCAGAAGTTTGGTTTTTGGCCCTCATTTTTTCCAAGAAAATTTCGACAAAAATCACCTCAGAAAGTTTGAAGCCAATCAGAATCGATTAACCTCCCATACAAAATTGTGCAAAAATCGGTAATTTCAGTCAAAATTTCAAAAAATTTGTATGGGAGGTACCCGTAAATCGATTCCGATTGGTTTCAAACTTTCAGAATCTTATTTTTCTCCCAAAAATGAAATCCCAGAAAGTTTGAAGCCAATCGGAGTCGATTTACAGGTAACTCCCATACGAAAATGTCAATTTTTTGAGGTTTTTTTTAGGGCAAGTACCCCTGGATCAAATCGAAAATGGCTCATTTTCGAACTTAAACTAAGTTTTTCAGATACAAAACTTTTGGCATTTCCAGATTTTGATTATCTCAATTATTTTTTGAGTTATCGTGTTAACAAACACCAACGACGACAACGACGACAACGACGACAACGACGACAACGACGACA